AAAGTCCTCGACTTCGGTTTGTCTTTTTTTACGGTTATTTTCTTCAGTCTTTCGTTCCCCAGCATAACCTAGCTCTCGTACTTTATCCTACACATAATAATCCTAAGAAAAAGCAACACCAACATCGCTCGATTTAACGAGTCTTTTGCAACATCTAAAATCCAATTATATGTTATCAAATATATTGTATGAAAGCAATTTTGTTTGAATAAACCAGCTTAAAATATACATTATCTACCAAAAAAAGAAAGGACAAATTTCAATAGGTATGTAAAATTCTTTGGAAAATTGAGTATTGATTAGAAATGAAACAGATGGGCCACATAAATATATTTTTGTATTTTAACTCTTTTTTACAATTTGAAAACATTGCGATTTTCATTTTTTTCCCACAGTATGCTTCTATATTATACGACTTGTTTGTGTTGACGCAATGAGGACCAGTCCTGTATGTCTGACTTTGTCGATTTTCGACGGATTTTGTGGATTCAGGACTTTGTTTCTGGAATACGAACCTGGCGATCCCAGTTTCTAGTAAAATAAATTACGTTTCTGGTCTTGAATTGGCAAATTAATGGCAACAAAATGGGGTCTAACGTCCTGTTTTTTTCTGCTCTGGCTGGCTTATAATGGAGTTCAATAGACTTGACTTGTTTGTGCCAGAGTACAGAAATGGTTTATTTGCAGTCATTCTTGAATCAATAAAAGCATACTACTTTACACACGTTTATGTCCATTTAACTTCCTCTTAAACAGCTCTTAAGATAAGTAAATCAAGAATAGGCAGTGTCGCAGTTGGGTTGGGGTTGGAATCGGGAGGATTCTGATAGATATATGAGATTAAAAGTAGTCTGGGGACACAGTGGTGGCACCAGGCGGGGGGGGGGGGGGCATTTGGCCCCCTTAAATCTGATCTGGCCTCTGTTTGCTTCCCCCCAAATATTTTGAAAAAAAATATATAATATATATGTGATATAAACAGTAACACGTAAATGATCTGATAAGTGCTTTTTACAATTCTAAAAGTTTTGGGGCATAGGTTCGACGCGGCGAGAATACCCATTCACTTTGATTTACGCACCCCGTTCCTCAATCTAATTAAAATATAGATCTATATTTCGTTTCGTTTTGTATACTTTCGATAGCCTACACTACATGTAGTAAAGACAAGTAAAATCGAAAGTTTGAACTATAAAAACGAAACGAAATTGGATCTGTCTTTTAATCAGATTGTCCGTTCCTTTGACACTTTCCTCTCGGTATCTGATCAGCTTTATTTATCTCGACGATCAGAGCCTGAAATACTGACAGGCTGCATTTCCGACGGTCTATTTTTCAAACTGATTAAAACACAGATTCTATTTCGCTTCGTTTTTTTATAGTTTAAAATTTTGTTTTACTTGTACCTCACAACTCTAGGATCTGGAAGAGTTGTTATTTAATAGGCATTCTAGTTGATGTGAGGAATTTGCCAACGGCAAGTTCTTGGCGTGCCTTGCACGGAACTGTGGGTAAACCCCTAGAAACGCCCAACGCCGTTTGATTAATCAATGTCTGACGTCATAGGGTCAAAAGCCCCTGATCAGATCTTCATGTAGTGTAGGCCATCTAAAGTATAAAAAACGAAACGAAATATAGATTTGTAATTTAATCAGATTGTCTGACGAGTAGAAGCCACCTCAAGCCCGTTTGTTTGACACTTTGCTCTCTGGTTTAGTGATCTGGCGACAAGCGAATCTGGTCAGCTCTTTATCTCGACGAACAGTACCTGAAATACTGCATTATTGGTTATTAGCTAGCTTCTAGTGATAATGGGACGGGTGTGGTCGGTGAGAGAGGGGGCCTTCCGATCTACCTGTTGTATCGTTTCTCTTCACCATAATATATATATATATGAATTAAATAGTCGTTGTTGTATTATCTAAATGTTGTTTACCTGGAGAGCTTAATAAAATAAGCGGAAGTGTTAGTAATCGACAAATAATGTAGTTCTTTTTTTCAAAAACTTGTCCATTTGCCATACATATTGAAGCCTACACTGAAAAAAAACTTGTGTTGAAACAACACAACCTTGTGTTGTTTCCTACACAAGTTAGGTGTCTCTATTTAACAACACAAACTTGTGTTGAAAGAACACAAACTTGTGTTAAATGTTGAAACAACACAAGACTTGTGTTGTTAAATAGAGACACCTAACTTGTGTACCAAACAACACAAACTTGTGTGAAAATCTACACAATACTTGTGTTGAAACTTGTGTTGAAATTTCTGAAACTTGTGTTGAAATTTCTGAAAATTGTGTTGAAATTTCTGAAACTTGTGTGGTTTCATAAAAACTTGTGTATAACCACCAACAAAAACTTGTGTTTTATTTTCCCTCAATTTAGCAATCTTTCCCATGCAGCCCCCACCCCTTTTGCTCTGTTTGACCTGTAAAGTTTGATAAATGAGGTAACAATAATTTTATTTGTTAAATTATCATTTATTCATAAAATGACAGGAAAAGTAAATTAACACCACCAAATCAAAACTAAATAGACATCATTTGAAATGTTAACAGAAAAACAGAGATATAATTCTAATACTAATAAAAATTATGTTATACTTTGCCCCCCCCCCCCACATTACAAAATACAAAATAGCTATTTAATTTTTTCTTTACCCGAAAACAAGAACTGAGAAAAGAAAGATCCCTACCCCATACCCCAAAAATATATAATTCAAATATATCTAAATTTAATAACATCCAAACCAAGCCCTAATTAGATTAATTATGCACTAAATTGAAATACTTTCAGAAACTGAAAAGTGCTACAAAGTCATATTACAAGTGATTTGTGAGGCATCTAGAAATAACTAGCATACACAGAAAACTAACAAAAGAAAAATGCACTATTTTGCAGGAGTAATAAAATGATGTAGAACCTTTCCCTCATTAAAAAAAAAACAACAAACAAAATGAATATTTTGTACATAAAAGGAGCAAAGCATCAAGATTACAGGATTGAAAAATAAAAAAATATCAGAGAAAATCGCAAACATTAAATAATATGTACAAAATATATATAAATAATCATGAGTCAAAAGCAAGGAGGAGTCACTGTGGTTCAGTGAGTATAAGGCATTGGTCGAGAAATTTCAACTGGATTTTCCGACATAGTTCCCACACGTCAGTAGTGTAGGACATGGCAAGGGATAATTGGGTATAAGCCCGGAATTGAAACTACCCCCACTGCGTTTACTTTAAAGAAACCTTGACAATTGAATTATCTGACTCAATGACAGACCTTCTGATCCAATGTGCGTGTGTTAACCATTCGGCCCTCCTGGGTTCCCTTTAAACAACCCTTGACAGTTGAAATATTTGATATAAGAGTAGGTTGTAGGGCAGAATCACCATAATAATACAGAAAAGTAGGATCTTAAACCCTATTTCATTTCATAAGCAAGGGAAAGTCACCTTAATGTAGGTCAAGGTTTTTTGTAATTCTGGGTATATTTGATCTACATTTGGTTTCTAGATTATGCCTATTAAATACTTTATGATTTCCGACCAAATTCTAAGTGATTAATATGTCACTTTACATTCTATATTATACATAAATTTCTGTAGAGAATTAAAATCTAATTGTGTTTGGGAAGAATATTTAACAGTAAAAACAAAAAATAAATATTCAAAAATTGGGTCAAATGCATTCTTTTCCAGAATTATAAAATAAATTGATGCTTGGGATCTCTTGTTGTTATCATACATCAAATAATCTTCCAGTCTAAAAAATAAAAAGTAGGCAATAAGAATACTTTCTTACTATTTATGGTTCACAATGTTTAAATAAACAATTTATTTTGCCACATCGAGACTGAGTCTCTATTTTGTTTCATCTTTGGGTAACACTTATTGTGTCTTGTCCAGTAACAGACCCAGGCAGATTATTATATTTTATTTCCATCGACAACAAATTGGATATTACCTATTAAAATCTATTTGAAAAGTAAAATATTGTCCCATCATTTTTATACTGCTATTTACTGTAAAAATACACATAGGGTCTATCACAACTTGAAGAAAATCAATGGATGTGATTGTCAAAAATCAAGAATGCCAAGACTTGAAATAGGAGAGTCCTAGGCATTGCCTCAAGAAGAATAACTAGATTACCAATCAAGTGTATAGAACTAGTTGATGATTAAAAATACAAATATGTATGTTACTTACATTTTACCTGATTATCAAGCTCTGTGAGAAAAAGTTTCCATAATATGAATAGCCATTTCCAACTGTCTTGATCTTTCTGATGTATTTAACTGAGAAAAAAAACATACTATGTATTAGTTGACTTAAATCTACTCGACAGTTAAAAGATGAAAGTTTTAATTTAATTACATTGTATTGTAATGTGTTGGTTTGCTTTGTCACAGATGAGACAAAATGAAAAAAATGAAATGAAATGGGGTTCGGCGTCCTACTGTTCAGCTCCGACTGGGCTAATGAGGTTGGGCATATGCCATACAGTGTGCTATGAGAGAAATTTTGCCGGGTACCGTGACCCTAAGGCCTACTCTTGTATCAAATTCTAACTGCCAGGGGCTCTTTTACATGCACGCCAATGTGTACACGGGACCACGTTTTTTTGTTCAATCTGAACGACTAGACAGCTGTCCTTGTAAGGCCCTCCGTACTGCATTGTCTTACTGCAAACCCGCGACCTTAAAATATGCGAGCCAGTGTCTAACCCACTTGGCCACCGTGGTCCCCCACAGATGAGAGAGTCATATCTACATGTATCTGGACATAAGTAAGATTCTGTTTGTGCACATACATGTACGTGTACAAATTTACTATACTAAACTGAATTTTAAATTTCAAAACAATAAAATGAAATGGAGGTTTATGTCACATCAGCTCCAACCGGGCTATATTGTGCCAAACACATTATGGTGAGATTCTAAAATACCACAACAACAGTCTTTTCTATTAGAATTGAACACTCACCCTCAAAAAACACCTATGAGAAATCATAGGTGCTCAAATCACCATTTCTTCAGCTCTTTCTTTTCCCATTTGGGTTTTTTGACTTATTTTATTATATGATCTTTGATATGATCTAATATGGAAACTGAAAAATATGAATATGTGACATGTAATTAACTGTTTAAGATACCTTACCATATACAAACTGTGTGATATCTAAAACCATTTGAATCCCGAAGATCTTACCTAAGCCGTGAAAATCTGTTTTAATAACCCTTGTATGTCATGTGACTGGACTGTCACAGTAATTAGAAGAGAGCCATGTGGCTTAGTGTGTAAGGCATTGGCTTGCTACCCGGGAGGTTGCAGGTTCACTCCCAGTGCTGACCGAGAAAGCTCATTTGGATTTTTCAGCATGGATTCCCTGTCTAGTCGTCATGGTGGCTAAGTGGGTAAGACGCTGGCTCGCTAGTCTGGAGGTCGGGTGTTCGATCCCTGCATTGGCCGAGAAAGTTCACCCAGATTTTCCGGCGTGGTTTCCTCTTGTTAGTGATGCAGGACGGAGGGCCTGACAAGGACAGCTGTCTAGTCATTCAGATTGAACAAACAAACGTGGTCCCGTGTACACATTGGCGTGCATGTAAAAGATTCCCTGGCAGTTAGAATTTGATACAAGAAAAGGCCTTAGGGTCACGGTACCCGGCAAAATTTCTCTCGTAGCACACTGTATGGCATATGCCCAACTCCATTAGCCCAGTCCTCCGTACTGCATTGTCTTACTGTAAACCCGCGACCTTAAAATATGCGAGCCAGTGTCTAACCCAATTGGCCACCGTGGTCCCCCACAGATGAGAGAGTCATATCTACATGTATCTGGACATAAGTAAGATTCTGTTTGTGCACATACATGTACGTGTACAAATTTACTATACTAAACTGAATTTTAAATTTCAAAACAATAAAATGAAATGGAGGTTTATGTCACATCAGCTCCAACCGGGCTATATTGTGCCAAACACATTATGGTGCGATTCTAAACTACCATAAGAACAATCTTTTCTCTTAGAATTGAACACTCACCCTCCAAAAACACCTATGAGAAAGCATAGGTGCTCTAATCACCATTTCTTCAGCTCTTTCTTTTTCCATATTTGGATTTTTTGACTTATTTTATTATATGATCTTTGATTTGCTATGGCATCTAATATGGAAACTGAAAAATATGAATATGTGACATGTAATAAACGATACCTTACCATATACAAACTGTGTGATATCTAAAATCATTTGAATCCCGAAGATCTTACCCAAGCCGTGAAAATCTGTTTTAATAACCCTTGTTTGTCATGTGACTGGACTGTCACAGTAATTAGAAGAGAGCCATGTGGCTTAGTGTGTAAGGCACTGGCTTGGTACCCGGGAGGTTGCAGGTTCGCTCCCAGTGTTGACCGAGAAAGCTCATTTGGATTTTTCAGCATGGATTCCCTGACTAGTCGTCATGGTGGCTAAGTGGGTAAGACGCTGGCTCGCTAGCCTGGAGGTCGGGTGTTCGATCCCTGCATTGGCCGAGAAAGTTCACCCAGATTTTCCGGCGTGGTTCCCCCTTGTCAGTGATGCAGGACGGAGGGCCTGACAAGGACAGCTGTCTAGTCATTCGGATGATACGGAAAAACGAGGTCCCGTGTACACGTTGGCGTGCACGTAAAAGATCCCTTGACAGTTGGAATTCGATACACCGCAGTGCCGCTGTCCGGGCAAAATTTCCCTCATAGCACACTGTGTGGTGTATGCCTGTCTTCATTAGCCCAGTTCGGAGCAAAACAGTAGGACGTTAAACCCCATTTCATTTCATTTCTAGTCGTTTCAATGGCACACAAAACCTGAGGTCCCATTGGCGTGCATTTAAGCCGATAGTATGGTTGTTGGAATTTGTTGGCTGTAGCACCCGTGTCACAGTTCGACTGCTAGTTTGTGATACCCACTCGATATGAATGAGTGGTGATTGGCTAATGAATTCTAAAATCAGACGAATGCTTCGGCGAAGCGGACACACCACTCAAATACAATTCAGCCAAATATATCAAACATGTTTGATTCAGGCGTATGTCAGTGGATAAACTAGGTGAAGTTTAGCGCCAATTGATTCAGCCGAATCCTTTGGCTAGTTTATCCAGCACTGACGATTTAAGTTGGTACTTTCTTTATATGCAAATATCACATTTGAAAGAGGCTGTAGGCCTACTTTCTTTATATGCAAATATCTTATTTGAAATAGGCCATTAGTATGTGATTCCCCACTTGAATGTGACTAGGAATAGGGTCGCCTGTCCAGCCTCGTGGGTTTTCTCCGGGTCCTCCGGTTTCCTCCCTTTGCTAAATACCCCTAGGGTGTATTCGAAACAGTGTTCCGGTGCAGAGAACGGACGGAGAATGGGTTCTTGTCGGACTTGAGCAGTCTGGAATGCGTTCACGAACACGTTCCCGTTCTCAAATCCCACAATACATCATAGCTGGTGTGAGGGAGAACAAACATGGTCGACACATCGATAACTGCTGAGAAAACAGCACCATGGGTGCATTTATTAATTTAAAAGTTCAATACCGTTCGAAAATTGGATGTAGTATGTGGCCAGTATAATGTGGCCAGTATCAAGTAAGTTAGGTTGCCAGGCAACGAAACATATGCCCACAGCAGTTTAATCGTTTGCACAGTCAACAGGGATTGTTGCATATTCATTCTTTTGTAGGTAATTTGGGCATTTACAAGAAAATTTCATACAAGATTATAATTTTCGTCGTTTGTGGGTTTACAAAGGTCGACGCATCGATAACTGCTGAGAAATTTGTATGAAATTTGACAGATTTATTTGTTTTGTGTTTTACTAATTTAAATAATGCATACAAATTTCATACAAATCGGATGATAATTTTGTTGTTCGCGCGTTCACAAGGTTCGAAAAAGTGAAACAAGGGCCACAACTCTAGACATAATTCGCGGAAATCGCAGATTATTGAAATTAAATAGGATTCATCTCATTAAAATAAACAACATATCAATTTCAAAATAATCAGGTCTGTAGACGACGGACGAGGGCGATGACAATATGCGACCACATTTCCATGTGGGCGTATCAAAAGGTGATGTAATCGTCATCCAAAGAATTGAAAAGGAGTAAAACGGAGTCATAATTTATCAAAATTATGCTTAATAGCGAAGTCAATACCAAACAAGTTATCGTAACAGATTGTATAAATTTAATTTATCTTGTTACCATGGATACCGTTCTCTCATGTTCGAGACTCATGAAAGTGTTTTCATGTTCTTCAGCCGTTCTCGAACCTGCGCGAACACTGTTTCTAATACACTCCTACGGTACGCGCAAACAAATCATTCAAATAAAATTGAACAATATTAGCCTCGAAATTACCTAGCGCCAGTAAGTATAAAGGATCTATCCGACAAACACTAACAACAACTCTAGGTTTATGCAGAATTAATATAACACAACATACACAGACGGCAATAGAATGAGACAGTGTTCAGGAAAAGGGCGGAAACGGAAGAAGACTACCTGTCCTACTTGATTCTAGGACATATAGCATGGACCTACTTGATTCGACCAATTTAATACAAGGAAATGAATGGCATAGTTTGTGTCAAGTGAATTTAGTGAACTTTAAACCCCATTTACTCGCCCTCTCTCTACAGAGATAAATACTTTTCGTGTTACATACAATAACAATTATTGGCCATTATTAAAAAAATATATTTAAAGGAAATGAAATTCTGTTACCTGTTTTTCTTTGTGTAGTACATGCTAACATCAATGACTGGAAAAAAAATAACGAAACTGTAGAGAAACTTCTGAATCATTGAAAGTCTAATATTACTATTAGGCCTACACATTGATGACATTGATATATAAAAAAGGCTGATTTGCTTGTTGTTGTTTTTTTCTTTTACAGAAATAAGATTACATTTCAACTAAACAACTAACACAAAAGTTAGTATCTAGCTATAGTCCATGTCTGGATATACATTTCTCCTTTTGCCCGAACGTCTATAAAAATCAAAGATGGCGGCCAATAATTGCAACCAGGTATTACTATAAAATCAAGACAGATTCTTACCTGCTGGTCCTAGTCGGGGGTTTCTTGCAATTATAAGTATTTGAACAACGGTGTAGCGCCGATTAGCTAATAATAATTAAGCACGATTTCAGAAAAATTTAGACAGATTCATTAGATTGCTGAATTAGCGGAACACTTTTAGAACACATCAAAAAAATTTTCTTTGTGGCGCCATTATATAAATAGACTTCCGGTGCAGTCAGTGTCAGTGGTTCTAAATCTGACTGTTTTAAACGAAACGAATTATTATATACATAGAAGCAATATATACATGCTAAATTAAATACACGGTTTTATTTTTTGTAAAAATTTACAAACCTGCGGTCTGGTATTCTATATGACCATTATAATTTTTTTTAAAATATCACGGCTAAAGCACTCTGTTGATGCTAACTTCACTTCATCTAACTGAATGTCGCTGATATAATATCAAAGAAAGAATTTGTCGCAATGAATAAAGTATAGATACTTCTTCTTAGTTAGTTGTATTTTACGTCCGCTTCCACCGAAGTGATATCGCAGACAAAAAGTATAGATAACTTGGAGAACCATTATATCAATAAGTCGATTATGAGATACACGTGGATGATCAATTAAATTTGATTGGTTACTTTTCAGTTAACCAATACTGTCCAATTTCGATTACATCAACCAATTACATTATTAAGAGTTTTACTCATTTTTTTTGTTCATTGCACATTGAATCAATTTTCGAAAACACCAGGGTGCTGAAAATCACATGTACACTATATATTCATTTGATCTATCAGTTTATTGGGTCAATAAAAAAGACAGACATTTTAACTATACAGACAACTTAACACCAATTAACATTCAAGTCTGTCTGGCAATTGTCTGATTAATTGGTACTCACTCCCTTCCAGTGAAGAATAGCATGTGATTTTCGAGATGTGAATTAAGCCCTTTATTACTTTTCTTAAAACTTGACGACTCCCGAATTCAGACTTTGTATGGATTTTTTTTTTAAAAAGAAAACAAATCGTGGAAGGTACACATTACTTGTGTTAATGATATGAAAAAACACACAAGATTTTATAAATCGACACAAGTTTGTGTTAATGCAATGCAAAACAACACATAACTTGTGTAGATTAGTTTTAACACAAGTACTTGTGTTGAGATCCAACACAAGTGTTTTTTCAGTGTATGTAAATTCTTGGATTATTTTCTGCCAACTTCTTTTTCCGCCGTTTTATTGCAGATCGAGTCTATTGTACCTTAAAACCCCTCAATTTTCCCGTTCACAATGCGCTTGAGATCAAGAGAATCGCTAATTTATATATCATATTAAATAATAACGAAATTTATATTGCGCAACAATTCATCCCACTTGGGGATGCTCTAGGCGCATGGAAGTATTCACGTGGGTTAATTATAGTGACTAAACAGCCAGGTTTTCACACTTGATTTGAAGATAGACAATGTTTCACATATTCGAATGGAAGGTGGTAGTTAATTCCATAGAATTGATGCATTATACTGAAAAGTCCTTGAACCAAATTTCTTCATCTTATAAATTGGTACATCTAACAATAATTTATTCTCGGATCTCAGTGACATTTTTGGCTGGTAGTGTGTCAAGAGATTCTGAAGATATCTTGGTGCCGTTTTATGTAACGTTTTGTATGTCAGAGTTAAAATTTTAAAGTTAATTCTCTCGCGCACTCGGAGCCAGTGAAGATTTTTTAAGATGGGAGTGGTGTGTGATTTTGATCTGGTTTTAGTCACAATTCGTGCAGCACGATTTTGGATCCTTTGCAACTTGGAAATTTGTTCATCAGTTACTCCAGAAAGTACGGCATTGCAGTATAGTCAATTCTGACAGATCTCGGGTTTTGGAGTATCATTACCAATTTGATGAATAAATTCAACCATGATTTTCAGTTAGCCTGGTGCCTGAAGTGTTTAAATTTGGTTAATGGACTTCTAGGTCACTTCGTTAAATTCCATTATGGTGGCCACCTTTAAAAATGGTCGCCGTTATTTCATTGAAATTGAGCGGGTCAGGGAAACCTTAATAACTCCTCAACAGATTGACCTATTGATATGAAATATGGCTGAAAATGTTTGCAGTGGACTTCCGGGTCACTTTGCTAAATGCCATTTTGGCGGCCATCTTTAAAAATGGCCGCCGTTATTTCAATGAAATTGAGCACATCAGGGAAACCTTAATAACTCCTCAACAGATTGGCCTATTGCCATGGAATATGGCTCAAAATGTTCACAATGGAATTCCACATATTCTGCAATATGTTGTTGAATGAAACATATATTTTCCAAATTAACAGATTATTCTGAAAAAAGCAAGGTTTAGGTATTTTTATGTGGACGTATATTGTCGTCGCCCCTGTCCGTCCGTCCACAATTTGTTTGTGGACACTATACAGGTCACAACTTTTATTCGATTTCGACGAAACTTAAAATATATAGGTCTATCTCCCAAAGATCTCGATTCCTTTCGACATTGGCATATATCGGACCATACTTCGGACCATATCCGATTTCAACGAAACTTGAAATATAGGTTTATCTCCCTAAGATCTCGGTTACTTTCGATATTGTCATGTATCGGACCGTAACTTCATGGATTATGGCCCCTGATTGTACGAAGAATCGCGTTTTTAGCTTGTGGACCCTATAGAGGTCACAATGTTTATCTGATTTTGTTTAAATTTTAATGTAAGTTTATAGCCCATATTCGATATTCGCGCATATCGGACCGTAACTTCCTGACTTATGGCTCCTGATTGTACGAAAAATCACGTTTTTTTTAGCTTGTGATCCCTCTAGAGGCCACAATTATTATCCGATTTAAAAAAAACCGTGTGAATATATCACCGTTACACTATAATGATGGCTAAATTCGAATTTCGTGAAAATCGGACCAAAACTGGCGGACAAAATGGCCCGCCCTCGTATAACGCAAATGGTGTAAATATGTGGTATATCAAGGTTGTAGACCCTCTAGAGGCCACAATTTTTTTTTTGATTTTGATGCAACCTTAAATTTATGCGTATATCACAAAGATCTTGGTTCTTTTCGATGTTCGCGCATATCTGATCGTACTTTCCAGAATTATGGTCCTTGATGTTACGAAAAATCGCTTTTTGTGTAGCTTGTTCTCTATCCATCTCTTGCAAAATGTGGGCGTATCCTTCCTGGCAGCCGCTGTTTTTTTTTATTTTCCACCAGTATTAACACTGGTATTAAACTAGTTTAGACACTGCTGTAAACGCCTAATGAACATCTACCTCAATTAAAACCAGGGTTGTTAGGTTTCAAAGTTTTGACCAATGAAACTGATTGTAATAACTTTTGGTAGGAACATATTTTCATGTTTATATCTGAATTAAGTGACCACGAAAACCTACACACACATATAAGGTATGGAAGACAAAATGGGACAATATTCATGATTTGTGTTTCCCATTCCAGTTTCAACATTTTATATTGGAGGCTATATTTTAAACTGATGATTGTTGTTTCTACATATTTATGTCAACATTTCATGTACAAAATCAACATTTTAAACAAAATATTCACTTTATGTTTCAATTTCGACATTTTATCGGTAACAGTAAAATTAAAAACTAATATATTAATCTTATGCGACAAAGAAATACATTCACTGGTTTCTGAAAGTATATAAAAAAATGGAATTTGAACTCTTATGAAAATACTTTCTACGTTTCAAAAAGTCTTGAAGTTGAACTCTTGAAATGAAAATGTGCAGAAAAATATAAAGAATTACCAACATTATTACACTATCGGGCGTTATCAAGTAAAATAAATAAATTATTTTTTAAAGATGGGTTCCCGCGTACAAACTGGGTGATTTAATGGTATATATGGACTAAAAACATATTCAAACTAATTAATTTGTCATAATTTTGCTTCAAATCCTTATCAAACATTGTAATTGCGAAGGAATGTCCTGCTATAAAAATTCGATCAAACCAGGTCATGTTTACGTCACGTGACTTACCTCTCTCAGAAGTCACAGGAGAATTCATTGCATACATAAGACGATGTTGTCTTTAATCGCTTACTGTTTATTACAAATATCGAATCCTAATTAAATTCTCGGATTATCCACTACCCGCGTCTTTTTCCGTCATTTTTGTCTCAGAAAGTGTTGTACGTCTAACTCTTCATAAAGTTTATCAACTTGTACATCAAGCGCTCAATGTTCGCGTGTGACCTTTGACATCACGCCCGCAGAAATTCCTAATCGTCGGGCTGTTGATTAGGGGAACCCTTATATTTTTGTCCTGTATACGCCCCATGTGTGTTTTTCGGGAAATCCATATATACGAAAATTACCATACTTTTATTGGAAATAACCACCCGATAAATACTTTTCTGGGAACCCATCTTTTATCTTATGTTTCAATTTCGGCATTTTATCGGTAACATTTATGCCGAAATTGAAATATATATTTTGTTTAAAATATTGATTTTGTGCATGAAATGTCGACATATAAATGTAGAAAAACAAATTGTCAGTTTAAAATATTGTTTTCGTATAAAAGTGTCGAAATTGGAATGTTGAAACATAAATCATGAATATTGTCCCATTTCGTCTTCCATAATAAGGGACTATATTATGCGTTTCCCCCTAAAATGAGCCTATTTTGAATTTGGCCGCTTAGCGGCTCACTTTTACCCAACCAAATAATCAGACAATTGGGTCAATTCAAGTCCCGGGTTAAGCTTGTGTTAAGGTTGTGTTGTAGTGGTGTATAGTGCCTTAACCTGGGCCTCTCAATTTAACACTAGTGTTTACACCAGTATCTACACTAGTTTAATTAATACCAGTGTTAACACTGGCGGGAAATAACAAACACGTTCTACTTTCGTTTTTGTCTCCTGTCAATTCTTTTCTAACCACCATCATGTCGCAGATGCGATCGAACTGCAAGATTAACAAGATTATTAACTGCTTACGGGCCCTTACCAGTATAGTGGATGCATATAAATTAGCCAGAAGGAATAAAAAACTGGATCAGTTTTTTTTTGCTGACATTTCTATTCCATTTGGTTACATATCACAGCAAATACGTGATTTGCTAAAGAACCTAGGAAAGGAATACAGACTTATAAAACAAAAACAAACCATTTCGGGTAGTGCCACCGAAAATGATGATGACCGGCTACGGGAAAGTCGGGACCTTTACAAAATATTTGAAGAATATTACAACCTATATTACCCCTAGGGTGGGGCTCACACGACTGCATTTATTGTTACGCCGAGTCCAATTCATGAAACCACGCCCACGGGTGAGAACTCTTCATCATGTTGCTTTAATAATTGTCTTAGGTTTGATTGTAGAACAGCGAGTGTTAAGTGTCGTGCACGAACTAAGGCACCATGTCTGCAGGTGGGCCCAGTCCGGCACTGGTTCTTGCAAATGTTTTAATCATTGTGAGGATTTATGAACACTGAGGGTTTTGATTCGGAATGCATGTTAATTAAAATGACTTGTAATATTAATTACTATATGTTTTGTTTTTCTGTTCGATGCACCTAAATATTATTTCTTTCAGAATCTGAATTGATGCAAGAACATAATAGATTAATCAAGGATTTAATCAACGTACATGATGTTGAGCTCGCATCTGTACCGAAAGAAACAAAGATTGGATAGCCTGAAGTCACCTCGTCCACATTAACCCAACCATCAACTTCCACGTCTATTTGAACTGCATTGTACATTACATGTATTTCGTTTTCAGTTTCACAATGAACAACTCCGTTTTGATTCCTTAATTTTTTGTGTTGTAATAATAGGTTGGTTTTTTTTGGGGTGGGGGGAGGGGAGAGAAGGATGTTCTCTTAAACTGTTGGAAATCTGTTAACTGTTTCTCATCCCCCCCCACCTTTCAATAGCCCGGTTGGTGCAAAACAATAGGGCAGTAAACCCTGTTTATTTCCTTTTGTTAACTGTTTTGTTATTGGTGTTGCGATGGTTGAAGATGTTTTAGGATATAACGTTATTTATGGTGGTGGGATTATGGATGTTAGAGAACAATAGAAACAATATAAGAATAAGATTTTCTTATGTTAACATTTTTATATTGTAATTATTTATTAATTTTAATAAAGTCACAAAAAATTGGTGTATCTGTTATGTAATACTGCTGTGGCTACGGTACACTTCGAAGCAAATATGACATCATTTTTGGCAAGAAGTCGGTTTTCTTTGAGTTGATTTAAACGTCATTTCAATTCTGTTCCGCCAATGGTACGCTCAACGATTTGACGGAGACGCCTATAATCATCATTATATTGCTGCTGATTGGCTTGAAGGTTATTCCCGATAAAGGGAGTTAAGACGTTGGCATGAAGTCCTCTGTAAACTACATCTCCCAATACTACATCATAAGGCTGCATATTGTTTAGATACATTAAAAACTGAGCTCACCACTCTGCTGCAGTTTTGTCATGTGTAGCGCCAGGGATACCACTTACGATGTGTCTCACCACTCCTCTCCGGTCAACAATATATTGGACATTCAGGGCATCACACGATTTACCACGTCGGCCACAAAAGAAAGGGTCGCCAGCATGAGATGGGCATTGTATTTTAACAATCATACCATAAGTGTACAATACCGCAAACATATTTCTGTCGTTGGCCAATTGGATTGGATCTTTAAGGTTGGCATGGTCAGTTGGTTGAAGAAATGTTATATAATCTGTCCGAAATGTCAAACAAAAAATCAGCAACTTCATGTGTAAATAAATGACAAGTACTCCTTGCAATCCCAAATGCATGGACTGGCTGACCATAATAACCACCAAACGAAAGGTAATTGAGAAAAACTTCTAACAGCTTTCGTGAAGTTGGGTAACTGGGATCTATGTTGAATTTCTGTTGTCTACATGTATTATATTCAGTAGAAAGTTCATCGATTTGATCATTATTCAGTAGAAAGTTCCTTTCTAGAATTTCTTGTAAATCAACAGGTCTGGGATCAACATTTCTTTGCCTTCTGTTTTGGCCATTTAGGGGTAAATCCATCATTTTATGCGTGAAAACTAAATCTGAAAGCCTTAAAACAAATCCATTTTTGTCGTCTGCTGTTTCACACTAGTGTTGTAATAAATGCCTTGAACTGAGATTTTTTTTTAACCCCTAGGGGTAAGTGTTAGAGTTATTTTTAACAAGATAATAACCTTTACCAAGTTATTATTATCTAACAAGTGTTTATGTAATTAGAAATATTATTGCACAAAGCTCCTTGTCTGATTATTTTTTCATGTAAGACAAAGAAATGTTAATCGGAAGCCTGCTGATTTACGAGAAATTTCAGATAGGAAATTTCGACTGAATAATGATCAAATGAGACTACAAAATTCTACGTAGATCCTAGTTACATAATTTCATGGAAGCGGTTAGTTTTCCTCAATTGCCATTCTTTTGCTGTTTTTTATAATCCCACATTTTCATGTGGATGTATTATGCCATCACCCCTGGACGTCCATCCGTCCGTCCACAATTTGTTTGTGGAAACCCAACAGGTCACAATCTTTATCCGATTTTGACGAAACTTGGAATATAGGTCTGTCTCCCTAAGCTCTCGGTTCCTGTCGATATTGGCATATATCGGACCATAACTTCCTGAATTATGGCTCCTGATTGTACGCAAAATCACGTTTTTGCTCGTGGACTCTCTAGAGGTCACAATTTTTATCCAATTTTTTAAAAAAAAACGTATAAATTGATCACCGTTACACCCTCGTGACGGTTGAGTTCCAATTTCGTGAAAATCGGATCAGAACTGCCTGACAAAATGTCCGCTCTTTGTACGCAAATTGTGTAAAAGTATGTAATACGAAGGTTGTGGACACTCTAGAGGTCACAATGTTTATCTGATTTTGATGAAACTTAAAATATGTGTTTATGTTCTCAGTCCCTGTCGATATTTGCGGATTTCAGACCATAACTTTCTGGATTAGGACCCCTGATTGAACGAAAAGTTACTTTTGTTTTTAGCTTGTTCTCTATCCATCTCGAGCAAAAGGTGGGCGGGCGTATCTTACCTGGCAACCGCTGGTTTTTTTAGTTGGCCATCTCATGCAAATAACAGAAGACAAAAACACAGTGCAACATTTAAAGATAACACTAGTGTTATAGGTGTTTTTTTTTATTTTCCACCAGTGTTAACACTGGTATTAACCTAGTTTAGACACTGGTGTAAACCCTAGTGCTAAATCGAGTGGCTCAGGTTAAGGCACTAAAAAGAACACCAGTTATACACCACTACAACACAACCTCAAAACATGTGTAACCCGGGACTTGAATTGACCCATTGCCTCATGGCGGCCATCTTGAATATTTAAATTCTTCAAGGATGCCAGGGTGGCACCATACGAATTCTGAATCTACACATATTGAAAACATTTAATCCATCAAAAACACATTTGGTGTACTATGTTTCCAAGGCAAGTCTTAAACTGGGGTTTGGCTGCCGGACATGTTAACGATTTCACAACATGAGAACCTACAATATTATAAATGTTAACAGTAAATCGATTCTTATGGGGTTTTTTTGCAGTGGGTGGAAGCCGAGTAACCGGGAGAAACCCCAAGAGGCGACCATGTGAAAGTTTGGTGGCCATAGGATCAAAACTGCAGGAGGAGATTCATTTTGAGCGAGACAGGACTTTTCCCAAAATTGAACTATTTGATCTTTGTTCCCAGACCTGGTCGAAATTGGTCAAGGTCGCCAGGACAAAAGTTGAAGTACTATAAGGGTGAACTCTCCGCTAGCGTTTTTTAAACAATTGTAAATGTGGGTTCTTTGGGTTGTTTTTTATCTGAATATAACAGAGATCCAATATTGAAGTTTCTAAGTAATTTATTAAGTGAAGATGATTGATTATCAAAAATAACAATATAACATAAATACAATGTAGCTTATAATATATATATAATACTGTAAAATATGTAATATAACTTAATAGAGCTAACTCGCTTGTGAAGAGGTACAAATTACTGATGTCGAATTAATTAAATATAAGATCTTTATCAAATATAACTCTTAGATTTTCATTAGATATAACTATTAGATCTTTATTCTCTAGTTAGCAACAACCATTAATCGATAATAAAATATATCGTACTTTTCAGTCACTAATAGTTTAAATAATCTAAATTACAAATTTCTTTAATAAACAAGTAATCTATCGAATATATAGTACTTTTCGGTTTATTAAAAATATATATTGTAAAATATTCGCTGGTAAATAAACAAGTAATGAATCATATAAATTCCCACTTTTCCGTTTATTTTAGCGCGAACCATTTTTTAAATTATTTTTAGACACTATTATCTTTTATGGAAACGTATCTACGTAAACAAGTATTTCGTCGACTAACGTACTTTTCCATTTTATTGAATTTATATATTGTAAAATATTCGCAAGTAATTAAACAAGTAATAAATATATAAATTCTTACTTTTCCGTTTATTTTAGAGCGAACCATTTTTTTAATTATTTTTAGACACTAAATATCTACATTTGAAACATATTTAAATAAACAAGTATTTCGTCGATAAACGTACTTTTCCATTTATTCATTTATGCTTACGTAAATTTTGAAATATCTATTAAAGTAATACTCGATTCTACTAATCGTATTTATCCGATATATTAATATATAATTCTAAATCTTAAGTTAAGATAAATATATATATATATATAAAGTTTAACATTCAAATTATACATAGATAGCTTACCTGAATATAACTGAGATCCAATATTGAAGTTTCTAAGTAATTTATTAAGTGAAGATAAATGGTAACTACTACTACTGCTACTTGGTGTTTAACGTCTGCTTCCACATAAGTGATATCGCAGACAAGACATAGGAGAGCCGAAGCTGATTCCTGTTTTTAGAATATGATTTTGCAATCTTTCCATTTGGCCTTAGGCCATGGATTTGGTTTAGTGGGAAGTTCTTCCCTTTATTTAATATAAAAGATATCGTTTGGTAGATGATCTCGTCTGGTTCAGGATTGGTAGATGTCGTCGTTTGAGGTATAAATGGTAACGTTGTTGTTGTTTGTTAGTTGTATTTTACGTCCGCTTCCACCGAGGTGATATCGCAGACAATAACATGTTATTTGTACAAGGTGCAATAATTTACAATGTGTTTAGTGGAAAATAGGATGATAAGGTTTTTGTATATATGTACAAAAGACAATAGGTAACAGCAAGAGACATGAATTAGTAGGTGAAAGTGGACTTTTACAAAACAGACGTGTTCGTGACAAAACAGACATAAATGTGGTCGAACATTGGGACAGACATGTAAACAAAGACATTATGACAGATCAGACAGAGTGGACGGACACTTAAACATATATTATGTACATATATATAGTAATTTTGTCGTTTGTATTGGTCTGGTCATTCTGTCCGGTTGAATAGCAGGGCGGTGCCACTCTTCCTTGGGGCTTATTGGTGAGTGTAAGGCCTGTACCATTCTCCCTTCCATTTGGTTATATTGTCCGGTATGGTGGTTGATTTTGTCATTGCTTCTGTTGTTCATTCCTTTGTTGTTGGTTCTCTGAAGGAAGAATCCAGCACCTGAAAAGAGAAGGCTAGAGAGAAATGAATATTTGGTCTTACAATTGTTTTTGTGTTTATTTCGTCTAGTAAGGCTTCGGGGGGGGGGGGGTAATTATAACTAATAATAAGAATAATAAGTGGAATAAAAGAAAATAAATTGTTAAGTGAATTGCAAATAAATAATGAGAAAAGTAAATTACTCATGAATTATATTGATGGTAAATTTATTGTATAATTTGATTTATTAATTTTATCGAAGTTTTATTAGGGCGGTTTACGCTTCCTTCTAGAGGACATTTTTACGTTCCGCCCTACTGTTTAATTGATTAATTTTATTATTTTATGTATTTGGTCATGCCTTTGTTTATTAGTAGTGTAGGGCGGTTTACGCTTCCTTCTAGAGGACATTTTTACGTTCCGCCCTACTGTTTAATTGATTATTTTATGTATTTGGACATCCCTATATTATCTATAAAATCCCAGACAAGTTGTGATGTCCAGTATCTATCGTCAGGTTGTGGAGAGAGGAGAGATTTGAGACAGAGAGTTTTTCCCCTCTCTGCTAGATTCCTAATTACGGATTGGCGTTCTTTGTCTAATTGATTACAGTTGATTAGCAGGTGTGACGTGGTCGCAATTTGTCCACATGGGCATTTAATTGGTGTAAAGGTGAAGTCTTTTATTACGTTTATCGTTTTTAGCCTCGTGATGAGCTTGCATATTTTGATTGAGGGATGATTGATGTAAAACCTTGTGTACAAGAGTGCTATCAATTTGATAGCAATGAGTATTCTCTTGTTTTAGACGGGTTTTCCATGCATTTTTAATTTTATCTTTAGCTATGCTTATGAATTCCTGACTGCTGTATTCTAAATTTTCTACATCATTTAACGACAACCCTTCCTTGGCTAGCTTGTCAGTTTGTTCATTGCCAAAGATATTGATTCGGGAGGGGATCCATGCAAGGACTACCTCTCTTCCGTTATTCTTGATTGTTTGATTAATATCCCTAATTTGGTGGATTATGCCCTGTCTGCTTTTAG